TTTTGACAGGGAAGAAGAATGTGTGGGATAGAAAAGATGAAATCTCTGGTTCTGCTGCATCGATTTTTGATCTTTTTTTTAAACTGTTCATCACGAGTCTGATAGCATTACAGGAGCGTGATAATAAATGTCTTAACAAGCACTTTGAGGCCTGAACACAAGCACACAAACCGTCGTCTGCAGTGTCTCTGAGGGTTCACGTGACACAGAGCAGGAATCAAATTTGTCTAAAGGAAGGAGGAGGAGGAGGAGGGAGGAGTGTTTAAGCAGAGTGTAAATTAGTGATGCGTCTTTTTCTTTTAGCCCGTGGTATTTTTTTCTGCTCATGTCAACAGTGCCAGGAGACAGCAAGCTGCAGGAGAAACCACAGAAGAAGCAGCTGAGGTCAGCTGAGAGCGAGGCACTGAAATAAAATCTGAGACCTCGCTGTAAGCTTAGGAAGAGATATCAATAAACTCTGCATTATTTATGTACATGTACATTTATTATACAACTACTTTAAATCGTTGGAGAAGTAGAAATATTAACATATGTTATCATGTGTTATCAGCTCTCCACGAACACGTCAGGAAAACGTATATCTGATGAGTCCGACTTTATCTGGTCTCCACTCGTCTCTAACTCGATGTTTGTGGGAACGCTTTGTTGTCACCACAGTTGTTAAAATTGATCCAAAAGTGACTTAAAGAGTGTAGAGTGATGTAATCTTTAGCTCCGGCTTGTTGTTAGCATCCCCACGTCCTCACAAATCTTCATATTGCTAATGTGCTAAAATTTCAGATTAGCATGTGCTAAGGCTGGCTAATATGTTACTGGTTTTAACTTCTCATTTTAGACGATGGACGATGATGAATTTAGGTTTTCTTACTTCTGGACACAACGTTCTGGTTTCACTTCTAACTCTTCATGCTAGTAGCCTTGCTAACTGTACTCTAGTCAGTGTCACTGACAGCAACTCTAATCTTAAATATCAAAAAAGTGACTTTATAGTGAAACACTTTCTCACAACCGTGGCTGTAAATCAAACCCCACTGAGGAAGAGCGTGGGGCTTTGAAGCCAATTAGACACAGTGGTTGAACTGAGTGATTACAGCTATGGCGTCCGTCGGGTTATGGAAGGTGCTCACACTCAGATGATTGATTGCGTTTTCTATTGTGATTTCATCTGTGGATAAATAATTACGTGTATCTGCTAGCTAACTTTTGCACAGTCAAGCAGTGACGTCGAGTTATTGTGCAGGATAGTTCAGCTTGAAATGACCCCAAACTTTGGACACTTTTTGTTGTCTTTTTTCGGGCCTGACTGTGTGCAACAATAATTATCATCCGTGCAAAATACAGTGCGCTGTATGGTTGTATATAGTTATATGGATTAAATTAAAATAATTAGCTTCTATGAGTTTTAGTGATCAAGGTTTCTCACTGTACGTGCTTCCTCTGGGTCAGTTGTTCAGCCGTTATGCCGACGATACACAGATCTACTTCTCTGACAGTGATCATCCATAAAACACAGTGTGCTGTAAATAGCTAGTTAAATAGATGAAACAAAGGTTCGATGCAAAGATTTTAGTAATCTAGTTACTCGAGTTATTCAAGGAATCGCTTCCCCCCTTATTCCCACTAATCGTGAATCATATCTCAGTCGCAATATCAAAATCATCACATTTACCACATTGTGCAGCCCTATTTGGGAGTTAGTTAGCAGTATTGCAGTCTTCCAGGGACCAGGTTTAAGACCAGACTGAACGTTCAGTCGAAACACTAACAGAGTGGAGTCAGCAGCTGCTTCTCCTCCTCCTCCTCCTCCTCCTCCTCCTCCTCCTGCTCTGAGGAAAACAGCTGCTTCACTGGTGGAGAGTTTACTGCCTCAGGGACGCACAGCGACACACACACATACACACTCACACATACACACACACACACAGACACACACTCTCACACACACACACACAGAGCTCTCCTGAGTGCCGGCAGGTCAGCGGGCTACCAGGTGTAGGTGGAGGACGGGTGAGAGGAAAGAGGAGGAGGAGCGGCAGCGCAGGGAGGTGAGGAGTGTAACTGATGACCTCCTATAGCCTTCAGCTATTTGTGAGAAGAAAAAAAAGATAAATAAATAAACAAGACAAATGTCCGCTCCTCTGTGGAGGACAAACTAAATCTTCCCCGCGGCTCTCCTCCTCTGCTGCTGTTTCAGAAAGCCTGAATCAGAGAGCGAGATTATAGCCGATGCCGACCGGAGAGCAGGAAGTGAATCCTGCTGGTCGGACTGAAGGTTTCAAACAGCCAAGGCAGGCAGGGATCGGGGCATTTACATATCAAACACATCAGACTTAAAGGCAGACAGAACGCTAAGCTAGCTTTTGCATTCGGCCAATGGAGAGTAGCGAACAGATTGAGGTGAAGACCCGTCCACACGAGCTGTCTCAGCTTTATGACTCCACTTGATGGACGCGCAGAGAGACAGGAAATAACTGCAGTTTGTGGAAGATCATTCAGACAAACACACAAAGTCAAATATTCAGGAATAAAGTTAAAGCCGCCTGCAGCTCTTAAACTAACATCAGAGGGTTCAACACTGCCACTTCTTCTCTACTGCTAGTGGAGAAATATTGTGTTCAACACTGCCGGCTGCTAAAGACAGTCTTTAGCAGATCAAAGCTCTGATACATATATATATTTTACATTACATAGTTAAATCCAGTTCAGGGAACGGCAGACTGCTCCACTAATGTTAATTAATGTAAATCACTAAAAACACTTATTTTAATGTTAATTGTCACTCATTTTACATAATTAAAAAAAAATAATTAACAGTTTTAAACATGAATTTAACAGTTTAATCTATTAAATAAACAATAAATATCTGTTTTTAACTTACTGAAAATGTATTGTGAAATTTGTATTTTTTATAGAATTTATTTTAGATAAACAGTAATTTTATTATTATTTACAGTTACAGGTTTTTTATATATATATATATATATATATATAATATAAATTCAGAGGCTGTTTTTGTGATTCTATTAATATTTTCATGTAAAATACAGAAAAAACCTGTAAAATAATCAGGAAAACCCCGTAAACTTACAGATTTTATTTACAGACCTTCTACTCTACTATTAGTCGACATTGGGGCTGAAGATGAGTCATCGCTCATTTATGATATTAATATAATTATATAAATATATATATTTTATCAAATCTAACAGTGGTAAAGATTACGAATGTGTCAGAAAAACACAGAATAAATAACTTCCTGTCGGACTCAACCTGCAGCAGAGAAGAAAACGGCCTCGCAGTGATTCTCCATTTCCTGTCAGCCTCGCCAACTTCCTGTTATCATGTTGATTTACTGTTCCATTACCTGTGTGTGTGTGTGTGTGTGTCACCTTTGTGTATGTGTGTTTACATTTATGTGTGTGTGTGTGTTTCCCTCAAAGGCAGAGTCTCACTGGAGTAATTACAACACACACACACACACACACACACACACACACACAGTCTCAGGTGGAGGATGAGCAGTGGCCGTTACCATGGTGTCACTGTCACTGTCACCGTGCCAACTGACTGACCATCAGTGTGTGTGTGTGTGTGTGTGTGTTATGACCAGTATATGGAGGCTAATATTAGCATTTAAACAGATATTTGTGTTGAATGTCACAGATGTAAACAAACGAGGAACCGACCTGTAACGTCCTCTCGTCGCCACAGTGGCTGCTGTTCTACAAACGTTACGTAATCTAACTTTAAAGACATCAGATGTATAAATGACGCACATTTATAATTGGGCTGAAACGATTCCTGGAGTACCTCGATACAGCCACACAGCACACTGTGCTCTGCAGGCTGACAAACAGAAGCTACCTGATACAGAGCTGAGTTCAGATCCTCCATCACTACTCACACTGATGTTTAGTGTAGGTTTATTAGGATGTTACTGTCCTCAGAACATTGAGGAAGAGGAGGTGTTGGATTGTGCTGCTTTGAAAACGTCAGTGTTGAGTTTAAATACTTTTAATAATCAGGTGGATTTGGACACTGTGCAGACTTTGTTAGGTTATATGTGACCTCCGCGCTGTTACGCTCTCTGGATCTGCTGCTACAGTATCTGTATGTTATGGGTTCCCACTCTCATATCGAACATGGTGAACTGTCTGCAGTTGTAATATTTTCATTGTCAACTCGCTATAATTTGTGTTTATGTGTTGGTAAAATATAATTCTGGTCACCTAACTGTATATTGTGTTTGTACAGTGACAGTATTACTGTAAAAATACAGTATTTTGATGTGAAATGACTATATGATATTGTAATAAACATCTGTAGTTACTGTAAATTCACAAATAATTTACAGTTTTATTAACTGTAATATTACCTCTTGGTTCAACACTGTATTACTGTACAATAATTATTGTATTCTTCTGTGAATTTACTGCAATTATTATTCAGTAATTTACTGTAAAAGTA